AGCACAATAGTCAAACTGCAACTGTTAGCAGATTTTATCTGCCATTAAGAAAGGTAAGGCCAAATTTTGGATCCAAGTACAATCCTTTAGATGCTTGATTGTAGACAATAGAAAGGGCTGCATTCAATAATCAGCAAATTACCAAGTTAAGTTAAAGGAAACCTTAGCCACTATACCTTGAAAAGTATTCTCCAACCCATGATTTCTGGCTTATTTTCCAGGTTATGAGAGAAACTAGAAAATGTAAAGATTAGAAAAACGTGGTTCTGACTACTTGTGTATACATGTACACACACACACATACATGTGTGTGCTTTTTCTCAAGGCCACAGAGCTGACTAACAGAAAACTTGGGTGTTGTGATTCCTAATCTCCCACCAAGGGTTCCACAACCTTTAAAAAAGATTATCCATAGCTGGGCATGGTGGCACAAGCCTGTAATCCCAGCAACTTGGGAGGCTGAGGCAGGAGGATTTCAAATTCAAGGCCAGCCGTAGCAATTTAGCAAGACCCTGTCTCAATTTTTTTTTTTTTTTTTTTTTTTTTTAAGGCTGCAGGTGTAAAGTGTCCCTGGATTCAAACCTTGTTGCCTCTCCTACCCCGAAAAGAGAGACTGTCCTTAAAGGGTGGCCTCATGTGACAAAAAATTACGTTAGTACTAGTACCTATTATAGTATTTTGGCATTTAACTCAAAAACAGATAGAGTGTTATATACATATCCTCCACCATTATATCATGCAGCCAGCCAGCACCTTTTAAAACAAAATTTTCATGTAGTTGATAAACCTATTCTTTTTTTTTTTTTAAATTAGAAAGGGTGATTCAAAAGAGAGAAGCACAAAATAAAATAAAATAAAATAAAAACTACCCTGGAATATTCTGTTATTCATGGTTTTTACTACTGTGTCCTGAGCTTGCAAAAGCAGCAGGTCTTTCCTTTGCAGAATGTCCTGGAGGCTCTTGAAGCCAGGCTCACCTGCAGAGCTGATGGTGAGGTTAACAAAGGGTAGGGAGCCTAGCATCTCTGCCGTCCATTCAATCTACTATTACCTAGGGGTCATCTGTCAGCCACGCTTTTCATGATACAGATGGGGGGGGGGCAGGTTAAGAATGAGAGCTGTGACTCATATGAGACAGGATGGGGCTGAACCTGCCTTACTGGGAACACCAGGGGTGCAGCGCACGAACTAGACAACTGGGGACACGGGAAGTGGGAGTCGGGCGCAGAAACAACAGAGGTCAAAAAGCCAAAGCGTCCACCTCAGCACCTCTGCCACACTGGTGTGCTCTGGAAGAAGATGAGCAGAAGAGTCTGGTCCAGAAGCGAAGAGGCCAGCCTTGCCCTCTGCCATGACTGGAGGACAACACTGAGCACGTGCACTGTAGGTGCAGCGCCCACCTCCCCAGCTAACCCTCCAGGCTTACAGCATCAGACCAGGGAAATGGTGTCTTCAAATGGGTCGCGTTCCTTCTTTCACTAAGTGGGCTGCACTTTGTCACTTTTTCATTGCATGCTCTATGACCACGTTGGAAGTGCCACCTCCACTATCCTCTAAGCCCCCTGAAGAGGGGGACATCTGTAACCCCAGCGCGTGAGCGACCCTTCCTGCACTGGAAAGCAGGCTGTGTGCACCTCACCTCTCCCACGCTGCCCTATCGCTGCTCTCAACCATGACAACTCCTTCCACGACTCAAGGGCCTTTCTCCGTCTCCTTCAGAGCCTTCCCCCCCAATTCCTACTGCTGCTATGTCCCTCTTTCCAAACACTGGCTAGGAGAGGAAACACAGTGAGCACTGGAAGGTTCCACATCAACAAGAAACTAAACAGAGGACTGTCAAGCAGAAGGCATCGTTCTCATGACAACTTGGCCTCTCTAACTTGAGCATATCTCTTGCTTCTCAAGAGTCTTGGCTCCTGATTTGATTTTGTCTAATAAGGTGATTGAACAAGATGATCTATTAGGGTCTCCATAATTGGAATCATCCCTGACTGTATGTAGACTTCATCTTAGTCAAATGTTCAAACCCAAGTCCAAACTCTGACACTTCCAAAGAATACCTTATTTTTGAACTAAAAAATAAAAAATAAATAAAGCTTACAATGCCTGTTGTTACACAATTAGACATATTTCATGTTGATATTTTAATTTCATGTTCTATTTTATGTATACATTTTCAATAAATCATTATTTAGATGAGAGCTCTGGCAGGGTTTAGATTGTATAGCACTGTGCCACATGGAAAAGGAGCTGGCTAATCTCGTCCAGTGTAAAAGCTACATTCTGATTATCCTGCGCCCGGTGAATGTGGATACTATCCCAGGTGTTTTAAAATGACCTACTAAGAGTAATCCTAAACATAATGCTTTGGTGTTTAGTTGGTTGATAGAGACAAAAAAAAAAAATCTGAATTTGGACTCACATGCTGCTGTGGAAAGAATCGTATCCCTCCAGAAGTCATATGTTGAACGCCTTTTGTTACCTTAGCACCCCACAGTGATGGTATTTGGAGACAGGGCCTTTGAGAGGTGATTAGATTCAGATGAGGTCATGAGGGTGAGGTCTTTTTGATGGGGAGTGCCCTTGTAAGAAGAGACCTCAGAGAGCTTTGTGTGTGTCTGTATGTCCCTCCGTAGCCTCTCTCCTATGAAGGCCTGACTTGAACCCTTGCAAGCTGACATTATTGGCCAACCAATGGCATATGACAGAAGTAACATTATACGGCTTCTGAGATTATGCCACAAAAGGCAATAGTTTCCACTGGTTCTTTCTGGAACATTCACTCTTAGAATCTAGCTACCATGCTAACAGGAAGCCCAAACTAATCTACATGAATAGACCACACGGAGGTACTTCAGGTGACAGCCGTCTGAGTCCCAGATAATAATCCAGCAGCAACATGTGAGTGACCAGGCCTCCAGCCCCATTACTGAGTCATTCCCAGGTGCGGAGCTTGCCCAGCCAAGGCCCCAGATCTTCATGACGCAGAGATAGACTGTCTTAGCCAACCCCACTTGAGTCCCCGACTTTATACCACTTAGCTTAGGGGCAGTTTGGTAGACAGCTGGAGACAGCAGATAAGTAAAACTTGAGGCAAACTCCTTATTATACTGGGAAAATACCTGAAGCCCAGACTTTGACCATGGGTGAATAACATCATCTTCATTAATGTAAATCATCTTGATTCTATAGCTAATTTCCTGTTAGAATAAAGGATCAAGGAAGAAGCATAAAACAAGAGGTGCGCTTTTCTCTCTAGTCGTTGGCTCTAGATGTGTTGAGCTCTTGAGTTGTTAGATGGTCCAAAAAAATAGTCATCAGACTAGACGCACAATGATTTGGTGACAATACACCCTAGTGCCAAAAATATCTGGGCAAGGTTCACAGGCGGGCAGGCCCCACCAGGTCACCTGCATCAGAGAGAAGGGCAGACAGAGCAAGAGGAAAGGGGCCATGTTGTTGCAGAGATGGGTGAAAAGAACTGAAACAGTGACTACTGAAGGGTTTTCATTATTTCTGAATGCTGACTGTCCTACTTGCAATCTGAATATTTGACACTCTCTCCAAACAGCATTCTTCGTTGATGCACCCTGCACTCTGCTGCTTGAAGGACACTCACATAGGCTGGTGAAGGACACTCACATAGGCTGGTGAAGCACCAAGGCCTGTGAAGGGAAATTCTTCGCTGCTCTTGCTGAATGGAAAATGCAACTACAGTGGACAGCAAGGGCAGGGGCATCCTGTGTGGCCTCAACCACTTTGACAGTTAAGTGCCTGATTTCATCAGATAATTTATTGATAATTCTTAAATTTCTTTGTTCTCATCTCAAGAATAAATATGCTGACAGAGTAAAACCTCCTAAAAACACATGCTGTAAAATAATAATAATTAAACCTGAAACTGGCTCCATATCTGAGAAGCCACTGATAGCGCTGTCAGCATTCCAACTGTTACTCAAGGGCACTCACTATGACAGGTACTGGGGACTTGGCCAGTTGTTCCCGGCCAACAGGAACTGCAACTATGCCATTATGCTGAGTCTTCTAAGTTAAACTCCTTTAAATCTGTGGCTCCCTGGGGAAATGATCAGTAACAGCTGGAGTGTCCATGAAAGGGCTACTGGAGGACCGGTTATCTAACTCAAAGAAAGCTCCCAGTCCCCTCGGCACCAGCAGCAGGCTGTCACTGCATATGGAAGGAGAATCAGGTCAGCATCTTCCTTTTATCCTTTTTCAAAGGGATGTAAAAAAGTACCAAAAAATTGGGGGGTAGGGAGGTGGGAAAGCTATCTTCAAATTCACATGCATGAGTGTCTTTTCCTAATACCTGAGGTAAGACAGACCCTATTATCACAGGGGCCATGTTTAAAAGGGGCTTTTGAGTCACAAGATTGGGTCCCTAGATCTGAGCTTCTCCTCCAGGGGTCTGAAAGCAGCCCCTGCTAAGTGAAAGTAGCAACGGTTAGTCCATAAAAGGCAGGGATAGTTTGGAATGTCCCCAAAAGGCCTATGTGTCCCCAGGGAGGCACCACTGGGAGGTGGTGAAACCCCTAAGAGGTGGGACCTGACAGATGGTCTTCAGGTCACTGGGGACGTTTGTGGGGCCTCAGCCCCCTCCCTGTCTCTTTGCTCCCATGTACTCCTGCCATGGTGCATGCCTTGCCACAGGCCCAAGGCACAGGGCCAACCAATCATGGACTCAAACACCCACAACTAGGAGTCCAGCAGACCTTTTCTCTCTACAAGTTGATTGCCTCAGATACCGGCTACAGTAACAGAAGTTATCACAGGAGGTATGCCACACAATTGTATCACATGTAAATTCAGATTTAAACTTGTTTTTTCCATATACAATACTTAGAAATCATAATATAATGTGATTTTTAAATTTGCTATTCCCTGTACACCAAAAGTAGGAGGAAAAAATGAAGGGAAGAACTGGAGGAATCCCCCAGAAAGAACGAAAAGTGTTAATATCTTACTAAATACACAAGTCTTACCTTTTCTGTTGATATGAACTGAGTCCAAGTGTTGTCTCAGTCTGTGAAAGGAAGAAAATAATGATGAAAATACTAAAACCACATTGTTCCATTATAGACACATGGAACATCCAAAATATTTTATTGTACCTTCAACTTTAATGTTACCCATTTGAATTTTCAGGTTAAGCCTGATCCCAAGGTCATATGAAATGACTGATCACACTATGTAATTCAAATGAGAATAATTTAGATAAATTTAAACACATGCAAATAAAATACTGTGATTGACAAATAATACAAATCCTATAAAAATAGTCCCCTTTACAATCAGCCTGAATGAGGCTTTGTGTCTTTCCCTGTTCACCTGCCACCACCCGTGTGTTAGGTACTGGTGTCTGATGGTCTCTGCCATTGGAGAGCTCAAGGCAGAGCGGGATTGGGAGGGAGACAGTCACTTACACACTAAATATGTATTTACACATTGAAGAAGGTTCATGAAAATATCAAGACAGGCTGCTGTGAAAGGGAGAAAATGGGCAGTGTACTTAAATATGTTATGGAAAGCTCAGCTAAATAACTAAGATGTACACTAAAATCTATCTGAACGTGGAAGTAGCACAGGTTGGGGTAGAAGAAAGCAGGTGCAAAGGCCCTGGGAAAGGAAAGAACTCTGTATGTTCAAGAAACAGCAAGTCTACCTGCCTCTCTTTGAGAGAAGGGAAAGAATTAAAGAAAATAAGGTTGGAGGGCTAAGCAGGAGCCAGGTCATGTTGTATGTTGTTAAGAAGCCATAGTGTTAAGAAGTTCAGGTTGTGCTATACTCTAAATGCAATACAAGGAGGAGGACCAGACAGACCAACAGACATGGACTATGTTCTAAAGACATGACTCTGGCTGTAGCGTGGAGCCAGATTAGAGGAGACACGAAGGAGCTGGGAAGCTGAAGGCAGCTGCTACAGTTCAGGTAACAAAGGGCATGAAGATCTCCACAGTGCAGGAGAAAAAGCCCACACTCCAAGGGCCCCCAGCAGTAAGTGCACTTGTCCCAGGAGTTTAGCTGCTTTGTTCTAACTAGGAAAAGCACCAGAGGTATAGCACCATTTCCTCCACTGACATGTACATTATTTTGAAATGGTATGCTGGCGAATGAATATGGGGAAGGTGTGGCAAATATGGGGAGATGTCCCTTTTGAAAGCATATGCTAGGTAGAGTGTAAGATGTCTGCGATTTTCTTTAAAATGTTGCAACAATAAAAATCTGTGTGCATGCATGTGTGTATAGCTAAAGCAATTATGGTAAAATGTTAATTTTAAAGTTTGTCTGGTAGGTGAATATGTATTCAGTGGATTCTTCTATTTTTTGTACTTAAAGAAAAATTTCTGAGTGTCTGCGTTTGAAGATGGTGAAGAATGGTCCTAAGTCTGTGCTGTTCGTGTATCTGGGTAACATTTGTCAGTTACCCATTGCAGAAGCAATTTTCAGAAAACTAGTAACTGATCAAAATGATTTAGACAACTGGAGGACAGACAGTGCAGCCACGTCCACCTATGAAGTGGGGAACCCCTGAGTACCATGGCAGAGCTGCATGAGGAAGCACGGCATCCCCATGAACGACATGGCCCGGCAGGTGACCAAAGAAGATTTGGTCACATTCGACTAGATACTGTGTATGGATGAAAGCAACCTGAGAGATTTGAATAGAAAAAATAATCAAGTTAAAAACTGCAAAGCTAAAATTGAACTGTGGGAAGCTATGATCCACAGAAACAACTCATACTGAAGATCTCTATTATGGGAATGACGCTGACTCTGAGGTGGTGTACCAGCAGCGTCTCAGGGGCTGCAAAGCCTTCTTGGAGAAGGCCCACTAGGACAACCGTGGGTGCAGTGAGAGTTCTTTAAACTAATGGAGCCTCCACTTTGCCCTGATTACAGGCTAGTGGAGTGAGCAGAGAGAGAGAAATAGCACCACACCACCAAGCACACACACCCGAAGGCCCAGGTTAGCCTCAGGGCCCAGTGAGGATGGAGGGCCTGGTCTCCCTGCAGTGATTGTGTGTGGCTGGCCAATGCCCACAGGGCACCCGTGCTCATCTGCGTATCCAGAGCCATAGTGACCCTGTCCCCAGCAGCTCTCCATGGCTGCAGCAAGTGTTTTAGCTCACACACGCACAGTGCACATGATAGGAGACAGACCGGAGGGATTGATCTTTAGCACCTTTAGTATTTGTTGTTTTTGTCTGATTTATTTCACAAGGTCAGCTTATTTGCTCTCATTTGAGCCACTTTGTGCCCAAAACTTTATTAGGACACTTTTATGTATGTATCCTATGGTTGGTTGAGGGGTGTGTTTGTTTTATATGCACAGGTAACCAAATGTAAATTGGCTTAGGTGTGAAAAAATAATTTAAGCAATCAGTTATATTGGTGTCCTTAAGTATTGATATGTTAATAAATGTTTCATGAGTATTTAATAAAACTATAGGTAAATACAGGTAATTTCACTATAATCTCAAAATTCACATGGATATATGTCAGAAAGATTGTTTTCAAAATAAACTTGGGAGTTATAAAAATGCAACAGATTAAAAAAAAGAAGAAAAATTTCTTTATCTTTTATATGAAAATCATACCCATTCCCCAAGGCATGGAAAAAAATCTGCAAATCACCTATGTGATAATATGTAGAATATATAAAGAATATCTACAATTTGACAAGGGGAAAAAAACTTGATTAAAAAATGGGCAAAGAACTCATTAGACATTTTTCCAAAGGAGATTTTCAAGTGGCTTGGAGGCCCATGGAAAATGATCAACATCGGTAATCATCAGGGAAATACAAGTCAAAGTCATGATCAATACCACCACACAGCTATCAGAATGGCTATTATTTAAATAAAAAATTTTAAAAAATAAGTGTTGGCAAGGATGCAGAAAACTCAGAATCCTGCAAGTGGTGATATAAAATAGTATAGTCACCATGGCAATCCCACTTGTGGGTAGACAGCCTCCAAGAAACTGAAAACAAGGGCTCCCAGAGAGGCTGGACGGACATGTTCACAGCGGCACCATTCACAGCAGTGAAAGGGTACAGGGCAGAACAACCAAAGGGCCCCACAACAGATGAATGGAGCAACAAAATGTAGCTTATATATGCAGTGAAGTTACTCAGGCTTCAAAAAGATCGATGCTACGACAGTGAATGAACCTTGATTATTAACTCTATGCTACGCTAGGGAAATAAGCCACTCACAAAAAGGCAAATCCTGAACAATTCCACTTACATGATGATGTACTCAACGGTGGTCAAATTCACAGATAGAAAGCAAAGTCAAGGTTCCCGGGGACGAGAGAAGAAGATCTATGGTTTGATTGGTAAAGAGTTTCAGTCTGAAGCTCAATGGTAGTGGTGGATGCTCAACAATGAGGATGTACTTAAAGCCGCTGAACTGTACATTTTAAAATGGTAAAAATGTACATTTTTTTTTTGTTTGCCAGGCATGGTGGTACATGTCTGTAATTCCAGCTGAGGCAGGATGATCAAAAGTTCAAGGCCAGCCCAGGCAACAAAGCAAGCCCATGTTCAAAAAATAATTTTAAAAAGGGCTGGAGATGTAACACAGCGCTGCCCTGTGCAAGACTCTGAGTTTAATCCTCATTGCCCCCTCCCCATAAGAAATGCAAATTTTGTTACCATATATTTTACCAAAATTAAAAAAAAAAAGACTATAGTATCCAAGACAGTATGGTACTGGCATAAGGACAGACAGAGCAACGGCAATGGAGAAGTCCAGAAATACTCACATGCACTGCCACTTGGTTCTGAACACAGGCATCAATGCAGTTCAGCAGAGAAACGTGTCTTTCAACAAATGGTGTCAGAACCAGAGGAAGACTGCCTTTATCCTTACTCCACACCATATCCTCAAATGAATTTCAGAGAAATCAGTTCCAAGTGTAAAAATTAAAATTATGAAGCTTCACCAGGAAAACAAAGAAGATTGCCTGTTCAACTTTGGAACAGCCAAAAATTTAATGAACAAAAAAAATAGCCATAAAAAAAAGACTAGATTTCATCAAAATTAAAAATATACACTCACCAAAAGACGCTAATAAAAATGAAAAGAGAAACTGCACAATGAGATAAAATAATTGCAAATCACACATCTGAAGAAACTTGTATCCTGAACAGACTAAAGGAGACACCAAGTCTGAAGCCAGGCTTCTGGCCTCAAAATAAAATAAAAGAACTGGAGATGGAGCTCAGTGGTAGAGCACTTGCCGAGCACACATGAGGCACTGGGTTCAATCCTCAGCCCCACATAAAAATAAATAAATAAAATAAAGATATTGTGTCAATCTACAACTTAAAAACAAAACAAAAAGCCATCAAACCAAAATAGAAACAAGCAACAACAAAACCTGAATAATAACAATCCGATATTTTACAATGGACAATTACACAAATGTTAACAAAGCACATGAAAAAATGTTCTTATCAATTAGTAAGGAAAAGCAAAATTAAAATTGTATGAGAGACTACACTTCTGTTACAACAATGATGCCCAGGGCTGGCAAGATAAAGAGCAACTGGAACTCTCATTCCCTGCTGAAGATGCCAAATAGAACCACCAGCTTAGAAAAAGCCTGGCAATTTCTTACAAAGTGAAGCATATGCCTACCCTATGATCCAGCCATTCCCCTCCCAAATACACGCCCAGGAGAAATAGAAGCATTCGTTCATACAAATACGTGTATGTGAGTGTTTGCGGTGGCTTTACGGGTGGTAGCTCAATACTGGAACAAGCCAAATTTCCATCAACACGAGGCATGGCACAGCCACACCATGGAATACACCTACCTCAAGCACTAAAAAGAATGACTTGCCGACACACACAAGATGGCTGAACCTCAAAATAACTATGGTGAATGAAAGAACACAGATCCTCACAAAGGTACATCCTTGTATGATCCCCTTTTAAAATGTAATTGAGGGTGATGTAACAGGCCAGTGTCAGATGGAGAGTGGGGGTGGGAGCGTCTTCAGTGCACAAGGAG